TTGTAGTGCGCTTCATGCTTTTTAATGGTTCTCTGAATGAAATCAATCCGCCATGTAAGATCACATAAGTTATCAAACTTAGCAACCATTTATACCAACTAACAGTAATCAAGTTACTATTAAACAAATTTTCCCGAATGTATTCTGTTTCAGTAGACCAACATGAAACTCATGCATATCCACATGATCCTTTGTTTATAGTTGTCTATTCGGTGGTTTTTTCCTCCGATGTCCATGACTGATTAGTTTTACTGATGTTAAAATGTAAAAAGTTTAAGTTATAAAGAGGTCAGTTAAACACAAGTAGTTGGAGATGCATCATTCTCACAACGTTAATATTCCATTTTCTGAATGTATACTCTTCATTAAATCACTTTCAAACATCAAAGGTGGTAGTATTTAAAAAAGACACTTTTTATTATCTGGCTTATTCGATGCTTAATTTGAATACCATCAGGAGAATCTTGAGGTGTTTTTCAAAACGTCATAAAATGAATTAGTAGACATAGGATCTTAGCTCTAGTCATAAATTATCTTTAATCAAATAATGGTTGTGCTTTTATAAATGGATTTTTAACTGTTAACATGAAAAATGATAATGATTTGTATATGAAACACAGTGGTATAATATGTCTGAGTGATGTCCACTCACGATGTTGAATTACTGACTTGAAACCCCTGAATAATTTGAGGTCAAACACAAAACAACGACATGATAAATTGTCAGATGAATGGACAGTATCAATACAAAGTATTAAGGATTTTGAATTAATTATGTGGCAAAATTGTACAGTGACTTTTTATTATAAGTAAATTAGAAAAGCCTTAAATATGAATGTAACTCTGTAAGACTTCACCTTTATGCTACATAATTAGTTAGGAACATATTTTGATGTAGAGCCGAACCATTCCAGTAAAACAGCTTTGTTAATTGTTAAATACAGTCAGGTATACTAGGCTTCAAGAATCGCCAAATTAAATAAACACGGTTCGATGTTGAGTAGAGAATTATCTCAGGAAATTATTTCAAATAGAAGACAAACAAATAGAAGACAAGGGAATCAAATAAATAAATGAAATAAATACTTCTTAATGAGATAAAATCTCAGACCGCGTTGAATAATAAATGACAGTGAATCACACCTGTGATACAAAATATAACCTCCATCAGGATAACATATAAAACTTTACAGTATGGAGTATCAATACCGACTTTTAATAAAAAGGTTATTGTCGTCTAATTTTAATGACCTATGAAATCTCATATTCAATTCTATTAGATTTTTATTATTTATTTTAACACATAGATATTGGTACAAGGAGGCACCAAATACATATGAGCCACAAAAATCATTCGATTTGTGTGAGGGCTGTGATACTGCCCGGGTGCCCGAACTGAAGCAGGTGGTTTCCTTAGGGGGCCACGCCCCGAGCCTTCGACCTGAAGGTCTGATCCACAAGGCAGTGGAGCATCGTAAGGAGATGCAGTTAGATGGAAGCCAGTGACCAACAATTGGTTCATACGCCATTTGTTTCCGCAGGATACTGGAGCCCATATGCACCATTGGTTTGGAATCAGGGTTTTCCAACTCCCCTAGGTGGACTCACCGTGTCCACCGCCCCGATTAGAGCGCCGAACATTCGCTTTTCGTTCTCTCATTTTCGTAAACAACACCCGTGGTGTCAGAAGGCAGTGAGTAGGACTTCCCTGGCAGAGGCTATATACGCGTGGCCATGTGAGAGCATTTCGAGAGGGAGAGCGGACTCTCCCCACTCTCGGTCGTAACAGGGCTTTTGGGGGCATTCTATTAGATAAATTAGGATAGACCATATAAAGCAATGTTATTTGAGAAGTTAATAACACCAAACGCTTGATTTACTTACTACTGAAGAATCTCAATTATGCAACCTTAGTGAGTGATGTTCCGTAACTTCATCATATATTTATAATATGAAATAATTACCTTTCAAGTCCTACGACATGTTACATCCTCATAGCTATTTTATTTCTAATTTATTACCTCTCTTCAAAATACAGTTAGGTCAAAAGCAAAGATGAGTGGTGGTTAGCAGTGGGATCCAGGACGCGCGTTCCGTCCTGTTTGGGATTCGTCAGCTGAATGTACCTGCATTCAGGGACTCCCAAATAGGAAGAAACACAAGTCCTGGATTCCACTGCTAGCCACCATCCATCCTTGCTTATAATGCACATGACTTAAGGCAATATCGAGGAAGTCCATACAGGATGCACATATGCCAATAAGAAACTGATCAGTTGCAGTCCTAAACATCAATGTGAAGATTCGAACGAACAATGCAAAATGAATTTACAGTTAGATTAGTTTACTGGATTAAGAAAGTTCTATGAACTGTAGTTATAAATGTTTTCAAAGAATTTCATCATTTTCTCTTCTGTGAGTATCGATTTCTAGTAATAGTTCATTGTAATTAAGCCATACTTAAATTGAATGCAAAAATGAGTTGACTAATTTTAATGAAATAAGTACAATCAGTTAGTGAGTGAGTGGTACTCACTTCTGAATTATTCTGAGGAGAAATTTATCGATCAACCAAATATATTAACCTTTCGCAAGTTCAACGAAATTTTTTTTATTATTAGACTTATGGTCTGTCTGGCTAACCAGTTACGCAATCAGTT